ACGTTTTTAGACCAAATATTACAGAGTTGAACAAATACGCACAAAAACATCAAAATTAGCACAGAAACAGTACTATATAACATTTTAGACACATTCTAGACAGTTTATCAGCCAAAAAAAAGTTAATTTTGGGGAAAGTTACTCTTTAACAAGAAGCCAAAGTAAAGGCTAGTTTAATGTTTAAGTCTAACTAAAGGCTAAATGATACAAGGTTGTCTAAAAGTAGAAAAAAGCAAAGTGAAAGTAGCTAAAAGCTAGCTAAAGCTAAAGCAACAAAAAGATAAACAAAATCTAAAAGTAAACTGTTTCATAGAAACTAGAAAAAGAAAATTATCAAAAGACCAGCTAAATGTTGCAAAAAAAGTGACTAAAAGCTAAAGTAGCAGAATAGTAGCTTAAAACTAACAGTAGCTTAAGAAGCAAGAGACAGATTGTTGAAGCAGGAAATGTGAACAAACAGAATAGATCTTAATTTATTTCTAAAATTAAATACTTATAAAGTTAATTATTGTGAAAATCACAAGTTTCCATAAGTTTTCCTGAATGAGCTGAACTTTTTGATAGTTAAATTAAGAAGTATTGTTATAAATAAGAAGTATTCATATCCAAAACAGAAAAACAACAACGTGGACGCCGAGTCAGCAGAATGGGATTAGCGTGAGCTGATATTTGTGGTCCAGATGTTTCTCAGCAGATTTCCTGTTGACATTTTAATGTGAGGATGAAGCAAAAATAAAAATAAAGACAGTCTTAAGAAACATGCATACAGTGTTTATTTGCAACCAGAACACATTAAATAAAACTACAAAGATACTTCACTTATGCAAAAGATAGATTATATTCCATTCACATACAAAATAAGAATAATTTACTGTATAAATTAAAATCTCACTTTTATTTTTTTGCTATTTACAAATAGATAAAAACAAAGTTTTGGCCCCATGTGATGATGATGAAGATGAAGATGATTTGCCACAGGCCTGTTGGTGTTTTTATGTCAGCGAGCGCTTCGGGACGTTCACCATTTAGGAAAAGGCTGAAGATGGAGGAGGAAAGTTTCCGGCTGACCGGAGGACAGGACGCTAAATTAGAAGTTTATATTAGGTCTGAGCTGTCACATTCTGTTAGCTCCTTTTTTATTCCAAATAACTTCCTGTTTCTGCTGCTCCTCCTTTTCTTCTTCTGGCTCGATCCGGTCCTAAAGAACCCGGGGGCGTCTGCTCGTGTCCTGCAGTGATTATCACGTTAAAGCCGAGCAGAATATAGCACAGAGTCGTGTTTTACAAACTTCTGATTGAGAAAAAAAATCGTTTCGTAACACTTTATAATAACAACACCTTATTTAGCCTTACTTAAGCACTAAAAACCTTCAAAACATCATCAATTATAAATAAACTGTACATAATAAGCTATAAATTAACACATTTATTAAAGCTTTGGCCATAAAGACCAATTCCGAAATCAACATGCGCATTGTTTTTTCATGTTTACATACATATAAACATATTTAATAATAAGTAAGCATTAATAAATGGTTAGTTACCCTTGAAAACATCATTATTAAGAATAAATCATACTTAATAAGCTATAAATTAACACGTTTATTATGCTTTGGTCATAAAGACTAATTCCAAAATCAACATACGCATTGTTTTTTTCATGTTTACATACAAATAAACATATTTATTAATATGTAAGCATTAATTTATGGTTAGTCAACCTTGAAAACATAATTAGGACAAATCTTATTTATTTATAACACATTTACAAATTATTTGCCCATAAAGGCAAATCCTACAACCAACACTCGTTTTTTCATGCTTACATATAAACACATTTATTAATAAGTAAACATTGATAAATGTGTTCTATGAATCATCCTTAATCATGTTTTCAATGTTAACTAACAATTTATTAATGATTAAGTAAGGCTAAATAATGTGTAGTTATCATAAAGTGTATTATAAATGCTTCTTTTCATTTTTTTGAGATTTAAATTCTTAAAAAACATAAAAAATTATCTGATAGTCACTGCAGTGCTTTTGTTTCAAGTGCTCTAGTTGTTGATTAATTATTTTTTAAATTTATTATCAATATAAATAATGCTTTGGGTGGATTTTGACGATCTCAATCTGTAACTGATCCATTTCAAGCTAGCTGCTAAAGCTAATCAACGTTAGCAAACAGAAACGGCTAAAAGTCGGTCAGTGTTACAGATCCTGACCTAAAATCTGCGGCTTTAACTCTTGTGATATCTTACGAGTTTAACGTGTTCAACTTAACATGAAACTGAACAAAAAGCAGGTTTCATTCAGAAGCTCGAGCCATGGTGGGGTTAACGTGTAAGATCCCGGTGGCGTTCTGGTAAGGTTCGGACCGTCGCGAGTCGTTAAAACGTGGCGGCGCCGCTCAGAAAACCCAGACCCTTCGTTCCGTTTCTGCTCAGCCTTCAGGCCGGGACCAGAAAACAACCCTTCAATGCTGTCTAAGTGCAGTTTGGTTCTGGAGAAATTTTAAAACAACAGTAGGGTCTCTTCAAGTGGTTTGCTGAGACAAAAAAAAAAATCATAAATGTAAAAGAAAGTGGTCACAAATACCAATCCCACAATGAGTTACAGACTACATAACAATATTCACCCCTTTTTTCCTGTAATTGAAGTTAATGTGAACAATATGTTCAGTAAATGTCAAAAACACACAAATAAAAACATTTCTTATAAAGTTATGAAGAGTTGTATTCCTGAAGATCTGAGGAGGTCGTTATGTAAAAAACATGTTTTTTTAGTTGCTGGGGGGGATTTTAAATCATCTGTGTTGGGAATTTTCTTAAGGAATCCAGTTTTTCATAAATGTACAAATGTATGTGAGAAACTTTAAAGGAAAATAAAAAACAGAGTAGAGGAGATCCTTAAGGCACTTGAACACCATCAAACCGGAAAACATAAAAAAAAAAAAGAAAAAAAAAACACTCAGATCTTTTCTAAATGTTGTAAAACTGCATCTGAGAGACCCCGACCTCCTGACTGAGACGTCCTGATGCATCTCAGTAATCCAGGTAAAAAATCAAAAAGAAAAAAATTGTATAGGTCTTCAGGACGGGTTCTTCTCTAATGAAACGTTTC